GTGTATTTTGCAGACGAATGGGTATTTTTCTTTTTCCTTCTGCTTGCAGCAGTGCGATATTCCGTTCCATGAAACAGAATAAATCAGTAATATCTAAACCGTGCTTGAGATCTGCGACATTCAGTCCTTTCCCTTCTCATCTGATGGATCGGTCACAAGTGTCGGTGTACTTGGAGGCACGCAAACTTGTTCAGACTGCCCAATTGGTGACAATTCTCTGCAGGCGATTTGAAATCACTTTAAATCAGGACAAACGTCACTCGTTTCCTGTTAACCGTCCCGATGGGAAAGAAATAAAAACATTGCAAATGTGCTCACCACCGTCATTTACCCACAGTGCCAGATTTATTAACCCTTTCAGAGCTCCGCATTACGTCTCAAAGCCTTGTTTCATGGTTATTTTTTCCACTCTGACTCTCCCTAATGTTCTGTTGAAGCACATGCTCAAGATGCTGCCTGTGCAAGTTTTCAAGGCGTTATCTGTTGACTTTCAACCTAAATTTAGGGACAAAAACACACCGGTTCTGTTCATCCGTTTTAGATTGGGATGGTTCAAAATTAGGCTAACCTTTCAAGGTGAGGGACGAGAAAAATAGAACAGAAAGAGTTTTCTAGTTCACACTGAAGGATGATATCAAGCCACAAGAGTCAGATGCAACAAAGCTGCTACTATCAAATTGCATCAAATCCTCAACATAAACCTATCATCTCCACCTGATGCTTAGCATTGATGTTGAATTTATATTGCATTGCTGCTGCCAACAGCAGGCCTGCCTTCAATCAGCGGTCCGCACTATATATGAGGTCAGGCTCTTATCTCTGGAGGCACTGACTTTGGTGTCTTTAGATGGATTATAACCGCACCATTGGAACATCAACAAAAGGCACCAAATGAAAAGTCCATCAAGGGTATCAAGGGATATGGGGTAAGGGTTGGTAATTGGAGTTGAGGTACAGATCAGCCATGATTTTATAGAATGGCCGAACAGGCTCGAGGGGCTGAATGGCCTACACCTGTTCCTATGCTTCTCACCTGAATGGTTCTGCCCTGAACACCAGGACAGGTCATTCGCCCGAAAATTAAAGCCACGAGTTGGAAAGGTACAGCCGTCGGTAATCTAGATTGCGCCCAACGTAAGTAGGTCAGGATTGATGAATCAACACTTTCATGGTACCTCAGAATTGGCTCTGCCTTGAAAGGAAGGCCGAATGGTCTTCTTCTGTTCTATCCTTCTATGGTACTGAGTCTTAACCCAGGAAGGATCAGTGTTTGATCCCTGCTCTGCTCTAAGGTACCTGATCTCAGCTTGACAAAAGTGGCTGGATTGTACCAATGTTAAGAGATAGCATCAGAACAAGAATGGCTTAACACTGAGTTTAACAATGTAAACACTCAAAGACCACAGTGTAGGAAAAACGAGTCCAGAACCTGCAATCGCTTAGTCTCTGAAGAGAAAATGCTTGCTGTTTCATTTAAATCTGTGAGCACCTTCAACAACAACTTGCATTTATATAGCGCCCCTCACGCAGGGTAGGTGTCCCAGAGCTCTTGACAGTTTGCAACCCAATCAATCACATGGGCCGTGAAGAAATGCTTTAGTAACAGCGCAAAATATGAACAAGACAGGGAATGGAAACCAAGCAAGCGCTGTGCGAAATGAATAGGTCCGGGTCAGAAACCTTTCAAATGGGGCACTACAACTTCCCTGAACTCTTCACTATTCACTCAGGTTCTAAGTAACGTGATTTTAATTTGAGTAACGTTTAATCTAGTGAATCTTTAACGCAGTCATGTTCGTTTTACAGCGAGTGCCCCATTTGCAACATACGGTGCTGTGAATTATACGTGAGCATCTATCAATTTCGAGAAAGATGAAAAATTCCAGCAACGGACTTCAAAAAGTCCCGCTCCATCCTCTTCAACCCCATGATTCATTGTTTATGGCTGTGGATATCATGAGACTAATGAAACATTTCAGTAACGATTGGTAATGTGATCACCCTCCAGCTGTTGGCCGGCATTTTCAGTTAAACTTAGTCAATGAGAGTCAGGAGAAATGATTTCCTACTTTACATCTCATTAATTAACGGATCCAATTAGTGGACTCCAGCCAGTTTCAAAAACCTTGTGGTCTGAATGTTTCAAATGGTTCGAATTTGTAATAACAAGGGGAGAAGCTGATCAAACAGTGGGAGTTGGGCTGCGACTTATTAGTAACGAAGGCTTTTCGGTCTTGAATGGAGATATGTCACAGGGTCGCTTGTCGACATGTACAAAATTTAAATGGAATTGATAAAGTGAACTCCAAAAAATACTTTTTGGTTGCGCAGAGACAGCAGAAGAGGATGAGGTTCAGCTGTGGGTAATTTCAGGACAGACACCTGGAAGTATTCCTTTAACTTGAGGGAGGGGGGAGGGAGCTAAAGACAGTGGGTGAGTGGACCAAAAGAGGAGATAATGTTAGCAAACAGAATCTTGGGGTTGAAAGCTAACAAATAAGAGCGCAGGTTATCAAAATTGATACGGAACTTGCACAGAGCACCTCTTGCTCTTCACCTGGAGAATGACTATAGAAATTTACAGCAGAGAAGAAGGCCATTTGTTCCATCGTGTCTGCGCTGGCTCTCTTTAAGAGCAATTCTTTCAGTCCCTCTGCTTGCAATTCTGCTCCCTGATTCACAACGAGGAGTTTTGTTTTGCAATCGAGGGGATACAGTAAAGGCCAAGTGGATTGATAGCTTGAATTTAACACTCGAGTTATGCGGAGGGGTTAAGGAAGCTGGGAAGGTTCGCACTAAAGACGAGGAAGCTCAGGGGAGACCTTATTGATGTATAGTCAAGAACCTAAAGGTCACAGATCAACCAAACCCTAACGACAGGTTTAGCAAATCTAGAAAAAGAGGATATATGGGCTCACACTCAGAAGGGAGAAGGTGAACCGATAATTATTAGTTATTAATTAATTATTGTACACAGAGAATGGTAACTATATGGAATGGATTATTGGGAGGAGGTGGTAACAATGGAAAACATTCTGCGGAGGGTGTATGTGTGTGTGTGTGCGTGTTGCGCAGAATAAAAAGGTGACTACTCACTAGCCTACATTTTAACTTCTTCCGACTGTAATACCAGTGTGTCACATCCTGTTAAATAGCATTGCAGATCAGTTCCTACATCTCCACAGAAAACCTTCCCCAGTTGTATCTATCTTTAAAAGTTATCAGAAAATGCCCTGGATTCTTGAAGGAGGAAATCAAATCACAAGAAGCCTTCCTGCAGCTCGCACTGACACTTAGCATGTCTGCCTTGGTCTATATACATGATCAAACATTAGTGTCGATATCTGATGTTGCACAGTTATCTTGAGAAGGCATCTATAAATCAATCATACACCATGAACATCTACCACATTACAATGCTTTGCACTGCCAGCTCCTTTGATTTACTATGACTCTTCCCTCGGCTAAGGATTTTCTCCTATTTATTTGTAAATGAGTGGATGTAGATACATTTTCTATATATATCTATATATACGGCTCCCAACCAAGCAGGGAAAAGCATCACACAAAACATATCTGACAATCAGAAGGGTTTTAGTGCCAAAGATCTGATCGATTACGTGGAGCGAAGAATTGCCTGAATAGCAAAGGAGTTTGGAGATTCCAATGGACCATTTTCTAAAGTAGAAAGTCATCATTTGTACTACAGATATATCTGAGTTATTTGCCCACCAACACAAGCCATCAAGCCCTGTCTCTTCCCCCCCCCACCCTCACCACATTCTGCTACTGATCTAAGAAGTGGACAGCTGTACCTTATTCCTCGTGTTCATTCCCCCCAAATGGTGCGTATCCTTCAGGTTGTCGGTGTTCCTGAACCTTTGCCAACAGCACTACTGTCTGTTCTACATGCCCGTGATCCACTAACAGCTATTAATTCTGTATTAGCCACATGCAGTCGTGCACAAGGCATTCATTCGGGTGCTGAACAATCTATCTTGCGAGGACTGGCGTTTCCTTATTCCTTCCAAATCTCTCATGCCCTGAAAGCACGTTGGCATTTGAGTTAATTAACGTAGAACAAACGGCAAAAGCGCTATCAGCTGGACAAAGCTGGTCCACTTAAATTCCCATTTTGACACATTTTACAACCTGTCTACGAAAATTCCAATAAGCCAATACTTAAGTTTAATGTCACGAGTAATTAAAAAAAAAAAGCTCCGAGGTCTGAAGCTATTAGTTTGGACAATTAGTACCCATTGGAAAATGGGTGACTTAAAAAAAAAAATCAAAGCAAATTACTATCATTTGCAAAAGATGTTGCATAATTACTGCTGCTTAGAATTACAGCTCTCTGTGTGAGGGCTGAAATCTAGAGGGAATTTGATGTTGCCCAATGTGTCAAGCCCTATCCTTCTGCCAGTGCCAACTCTATATTGCGGTTTTAAATCTTAATATTCTTTGATTAAAGTAAAAAAAAAAAACATAACCCTGAAATGGGAGCAGAAATAGATGCATCCTGTGCTTAAGCAGGTTCTGCTTTCCAACTCATCTATATTTTCCTCTCTCTTTCTCTCTCTCTCATTCATTCACTCACTCACTCACTCACTCACTCACAGAGAGGGGGTGAAAAAATATTTCACAGTGCAATTGAAAACTAAAAAAAAGAAAAAGGTGAAAGGGGAGGGGGGGGGGAAATCGACCTGATTACAAACCCTGCAGTTTAATAGTAAACTGAAACAAAGAATTATGCAAACAGGCACCATTCATGATCATCAGCAATAAAAAAAATAGGCTCGATTAACCTGGAAACTGTACAGGGATGGAAATAATAATGTGCAGTGAGTTTTCACTCAATAACAAACCCAACAGATCCTTTTATTATTTCCTCCACCACCCACCCACCCACAAAGTGACAGGCAATGAAACATTTAATACCACAAAGGCTGCAAGTGCTATTTGCTCCAAAAAGATCAAAGAGAAGATGGGTTGAAACTAACCATAACAAGTCAGAGGAAGCCAGATCCCTCCCTGTCGGCTTGTGGAGTTCTCTTTGGTGGTCCCAGCTCTGGAAGCAGTCGTGTAAAATGCCAGAATATTGCAAAGTGGTGTATTAGCTCGAACAAGGCATTGTCTCTTTTTTCTTTCTTTCTTTCTTTCTTTCTCTCTCTCTCTCTCTCTCTCTCTCAGCTTGCAATTCTCTTCAATTTCTAGGACCAATCCTTCTGGAGGCTACTGCTCATCACACTCCTGTGAGCAGGTACAAAGCAATGTGCATACTGCAAGTTTCTCTCTCTCTCTCTCTCTCTCTCCCTCTTTCTTCCTCTTTTTTTTTCTCCTCCACCTTTCCTAATTACTTCCAAGTCAGCCCAGTGCCTGACAACAACATGAAGTATTCCAGGGTCCACACAAGGTTCTTCCTGTTGGAAACCCAACTCCCTTCTTTTTTTCCCCTGCTACCCCAGAGGGAATCATTGACTGAATGCAACCAACACAATCTGAATTCTAAGTGAACTGATGGCAAACGGTAGCACACATCCAGTGAGGAACCCAGGCTCTTTTTTCATAGGATTGACAGGTAAAAACTCATCTCAGCCAAACAGCCTTCAGCTGGAGAAATCCCTCATTCTCTCTCTCTCTCTCTCACACACACACACACATACGAGCTGTGAAGCAGCAGGACTGGATTATTATTTTATTCCATATTCTTCAATGAAATAAGAATTTAATTTACCCCTTCATTTTCCAGGATCATTAGTCTTTTGAGACTTAGTGTGTGTGTGTGTGTGTCTGTGTGTTTCAGGCAAGGGATTTTCTTTTGCAAATGTGAAAGTGATCCAGGTTGACTTTCATCTTTGGTGAATCATATTCCAATGTTTTTTTTTTAATTTGAAACATTATTAAAGTGGAATGAATTTATTCCCACTGGTGTGAAGGATGCGGTTCTCTGCGTCTGGCACCCTGCATTTAGACATGTATTGTATATGTAATGTGCTCTCAAACCCCCTGCCACAGTTAGAAATGTTCCATTGTGGGTTCAGTTACTCAATAACCATTCCCTTTCACACTTTGCAAAAACACAAAGCTGATAATGATCACACAACGAGGTCTACAGAAATCCTATTCGATAAAAATTACTGCACGGTTTATCGAGGGGATAAAAGGGCGATGAAAACGGTGCGGAATATTTATTAATATGTCATGCAATATTGTTCGAGCACTCTACCACATCTCTTGGCATTGATTTATTGTTGTTGTGTCAATTAAAACTTCCACTGCACCAGACAATATGTGTTCAAAAAAAAAACTCAGTTAACCTGTACCTTTGCCAGGCTTTTAAATACAGAGCATGTAGGTTTTCGTTGCGGTTGATAAGAAATGGCATTAGTAAATAATTGCCTTGAAAATGCACAATAGAGAGGAGGTTTTGGAAGGTCACACACATCCTCTTGTTACTGAGCTTCAAGAGTCATCAGTATTTTTAGAGCAGGTCTTTGTTTAACACATGCACACCTCCACTCAGTAGGCACACAGTGTCTGAACTACGCCAGCCCCCTGATAATCAATGACAAAGAAGTCACCTAGGCTGGGTTCTTGTTACAAGCCTGGGACAGACAGTTTCACCACCTACATTGGCAGCTTCTGTGTTATTCATCTCTATCTGTGTCACACAGTCCTCTGAATGTAATCTTACTTTAGCTGTGCAATTTATTATTAATTAGATTGAGCACCACGTTTAAGGGTACTGACAGAAATAGTGCTGACCCGCACGACCCCTTCGAAGATATTAAGATATTACAAGGTAGTTGTCGTCAGTTTGCAATTACAATTGTTTTGTTTTTGGAGGTGGGGAGGTGGGGGAACAACATATTACGGAGCAAGCAATTTGAATTGATTCCAGACAAATGTTGTCGTAAATCATGGGTGAACTTAAATGGGTCCATTTTCATTTATGATTCTCAGTAATATTAGATTTGCGCGTACACAATATATTTTTGCATTTGGTGACACAACTGTCTGATTTGCGGTCAATCGTTATCACGTTAGACCGTAACAACCGCGATAAAAGCAACGGTCTGGAGTGACACATAAGACAGATTCAGCCTTGTTGTATTCTGGTGACATTTTCATTTCCTTCCACGGCCCAACAAACCACTGCAAATAAGAACAACGACAACAACAACTTGCATTTACCCAGCGCCCCCTCACGCAGGATAGGGTCCCAGAGTGCTTGACGCCAGGCCGGAGGGGGGGGGAGGAGGAGATGACCGTAGGCACGGACGAATAGGAAGGTCTTCAGGCGCGACCTGAAGATGGGGAAGGAAGGGTCAAGGCGGATAAAATAAAATATATATATGACCCGGATAGGTCAATACTGCTGCGTGTGTGTGTCTTCAATGCCACTAGTTTTACGGACATATACTTTATGGCTGTTTGTGGGACATTGCTGCGTTCATATTGACCGCCACATTTGCCTACAAAATACACAGTCACTACCCTTTGCAGTAAATCCTTCTGAGGTGAACATGCCTCCTATCAAATGCAAGGGCTATTATTATTATTATTATTATTATTAGATATGAATAACCTCAGGGTTGGGATGATCCTGATAGGACAATACAGCGGGAAGCTTGCCAGTGTTTGCATTGGCAATTTGTAGGAGAAGGTGCTATGTCAAATGCGAGGATTATTATTAACAGTATTTGTACTGTTGCTGTACCTCAGGTTCCATTACCATAGAGCGTTGTTTGTAGCAAATCATCACGGTTTACTGTTCTTCTACAAGAACATGTATACACATAGATTAGACAGGTTTGTAGCTCCAGGGCACAAGGACCAGAATGGCAACAGTGGGGTAGCTCGACATGATTCACAAGCAGGACAGTGATTGATAAGCATGGAGGGCTGCCATCTGTGCCTAGATATTATTGTCTTGTATAGCTGCTCCTGTTAAACTATGGTCAACTGTGAACGCTCACAAAGACAAAACATTCTGGCAATGTTAGCCTAATTGGCAGTTGTTAAGTAAAATAAAAACAGCCCATTCGGACTTCGAAGAAACTCCGCACCACTCAGCACCAAGTGAAAACTTTGCCCGATACAAAGATCGCTTTGTAGGGATTACACTGAATGGTGAGAGGAGGTTATTAATTAGCACCGTGGCAAGGCCGGATCAGTTACAAGCTTGTTATTGCACTTGAACAACGGTGGCCATTTTCATAACCCTTTTGTGTCGGGAATACGTCTCAAAGCAGTTGCTGAATGAACAACAACAACAATTTTGCATTTATGTAGGACCTTTCACTTCAGGAGGACGATCTCAAAACCCTTCACAATGCCGACCAGAGTCCTGCGCTTGGGGAGCCTGAGAAAGCTGGGGGAGAAACAGAGCCGAGAAGGTGTCTAAATGCTCGGTCCGTGGGTTTTGAAGCCAGGGAAAGAGGGGGCAAGGCAGAGTACAGCACAGGACCCCAAGTACAGTGGCCTCAAGTCTTTGAAACTATGTTTGGATTGAAAAATATACCTTATACGTTTACAATTCACTTCCCATTTAAACACGAGAGAAGAACACCCCTCTTATAATTACAATTTACAGTGGAAATCTGAGTATTAATCTTCCGTCGCTTAGCTCATAAGAAACAGTTGGACACACCTCGCAGATCATTGGAAATCAATGCGTCTAATTATAAAGTGATTCATCTCTGTCTCCACAATGATTACTTTCAAACTGTTCATTCCTGTTCACCTATAGGAATGGGTCCAATTTGCGATTTATTTATTTTTGAGGGGGGTGGTGGTGGGGGGGGGGGGGTTGCAAAAAGCAGCCTGAGGTCAGGCATCGAACACAAAAAAAAGTGCGGGAATGTATCTCATTCTGTAGATTGGAACATCAGAATTATTCCGAATCAATCTCGAGAATACAATAGTTTCAATGTGACCTGAGCGCTTGCTGTAACTGAACTGGAATGTATTGCTTAGGAATGGGAGGGGGGAGGTTGGAAATCGGGCAGCAGGTCAGAGCAGGTCTGGAGGAGAAAAAAATAGGTTACCTTTTCGCAAGTGACCCTTCTTCACGGACAGTCAGACGTGAAAAGTTAAACTATTTCTGGGGTAGTTTATATAATAAGAAGAATAACAATCCTTTCATTTGACACAGCGCCTCGTCACATCTTCGAGACGTCTCAAAGCGCTTCACGGAATATACTGTAAAGTGAATTGACCGTATAGTTTGTGATCGAAACCGGGCAGTTTACCTCCCACGCCTTCTCTATTCGCTTTCTGAATTCACTGTTTATTCCCCCACCCCGCCCCACCCAGTTTTAAACTGTTAAGACAATAAAATAATAACAGGGGATTCCTGATCTTGTTTATCGATAGGGTAATAATAATGATTCCTCAGATTGAATGTAACACCTGTAACATCTCGAAGCACTTGGTACCATTTCTGCGAAGTGTATTGACTGTGTGTGAAGGTGAATGGACCGGCCTGGATGACCTCTAGCCAGGACACCAGGAGAAAACCCGTTCTTTTCCCTGAACACTGCGTGGGACTTTTTAACAACTAACTGGAGAGGCAGGTGGGACTTCAGTTTAGTGTTTCGTCCAATGGGTGGCACCTCCGACAACGCAATGCTCCCCCAAAACTTAACAGGAGTCAGCTTAGACGATGAGCTCAAAGTCCTGCCATTGGATTATGAACCGTTTGACGCAGAAGAGAGAGTGCGACTGACTGAGCCAGGCTGACACCTGGGTACAGTGAGGCGATGCTCTAAAAGGAGGGGTTGTGCTGCAATAAATGTAACAGGAATATGACCCAGAATAGTTTCTCTTGCTTCTTGGACACAATGACTTTCACATCATGACACCATACACAAACCCCCGCATCTGCTACAGTATTACGGCTAGATAAACAACAACAACAACAACAAGATTCCATTTATTGAGCACCTTTCACGTCGGGAGGACGTCCCAAGGCGCTGTACAGTTAGGTCAGGACCCGAGCATTGGGGGGAAATGGTCAGGGTGAGGGGAGGGAAGGGAGGGGGCGAGGAGGGGGTAGAGAGTCGAGAGGGGAGCTGAAGGCACGGTCAAAGAGAAAGGTCTTGAGACCGGCCTTGAAGGAGGAAAGTGAGGAAGCGGTGAAGGCACTGGGGGATAGAGTTCCAGAGCCTCGGGGCTGAGAGGCTGAAGGCCACTGATGGTAGGGCGGTTGGGGCGGGGGATGTGGAGCAGACCGGAGCCAGAGGAACGGAGGGTACGGGCAGGTAGGTAGGGGGATAGTAGGTCGGAGAGGTAGGAGGGAGCAAGGCCGTGAATGGCCTTGTAGGTGAGGGTGAGGATCTTGAATTTGATCCTCTGGGGGATGGGGAGCCAGTGGAGGCGAGCGAGGGTGGGAGTGATGTGGTCCCGAAGCCTGGTGTGGGACAGTACCCGAGCTGCAGAGTTCTGAATGACATTAGATTATAGGGAAATCAATATAAATGTATCGATTGACTGAACAGGCATTATAACATCTATTATATTTCAGGTTGTTCTATTGGAATTATTACTTCTAACAACAGTGTTAAAAGTCCTTTTGTCCTCTAACTTGTCGGTCTAGTTACATTGGCACTTTATTCCAATGCAGCGTTGGGGGAGTGATGTCGTCCTTCG